TTCCAAACACTCCTTCAAACGTTGTTTTTTCTTTTAAACATCTCCGATCCAAGGAGGTTGTAAACTGAATGGGTTTGGGATGTTGGTTGGACCAAATAAGACCATTGAGCATTAGACCTGGGAGCAAGTTAACTTTAGACCAAACACTATAAAAAATAAATGAATCAGATAATAACGTTTTTAGTTTTAGCCCTAAACAGTTATTAGCCGCTTTCACACCAAGTACTTTGCCGTACTTAGTGCCGGCACTTATTTCCCCCATGGAACTAAAGAGCCGATCGCGTTCACACCGGAATAAGTTCCCTGAGGGAAGATTAGGCAAATGAAGCCACTGACATCACTTCGTCTTCTTCTGCTTTGGGTTTACTGGCAGGCCGCAAACAACTTCACGGCGTATACTGCCGCCCGGAGTCCCCGGAGTTGGGGACTGGCTTCAGTAGAAGCTGCTGGGACTCCCAGCAGATTCTACTGAAGCCTTCAGAGTAAATCACCAGAACGCCGACACCTCCTCATCTCCACCGCTCCCATGTTTTCTTTTGTGTTGCCATAAGTTATTCTCTCTCCGTTGGTGCGCTGGGCTAATGCTAATGCTAATGCTAATGCTAATAATGCTAATGACAGCCAATAAAATGGCGGCTTCAAAAAACTTTTCAGAGTTTTACGGGGCGTGGTTTGCAATTCGCCCAGCCAATAGAAATTGGAACTTTTTTCTCCCCAGGATAGTCCCACCTCTCTAGCAGGGACTACAAATTGGGGTAAAAGTTCTCTGAACTAAGTTCTCTTTTTGGTGTGAACGCAACATTCCTGGCACTAACGGAACTAAACGGGAAAAGTACCTATTGTCACAGAAGCAGTTTAATGATGATTATCCAGCTGCCTTTGTGTTCAAACTCATCTGCAAACTGTCCCTCAGCTGATATCCTCCACTGAAGTGTTTTTGTGTGTTTCCTCTCAGGCACGATAAGTACCAGACGCAGTACCGAGCCATGTTCGTGATGAACTGCATCGTGAAGAGAGACGAGGTGTTGCGCTACAAAATCCAGCAGGACCTGAAGCGCAGCAAGAGGAAGAGGAGGAGGGGACAGAGAGCAGAAACAGAAAGCATAGCTGACGAGACTCCGGAGCCTCAACCCGCGGGGATGAACTCTGAGGAGGTCTACCACCCCGTCTGGTGCACAGAATGCTCCACAGAAGTCGCCGTTTTCGATAAAGACGAGGTCTACCACTTCTTCAACATCCTGGCCAGCCACTGCTGAGACACACCGGCAGGGAGGCTTTTATTTCAGGGGGTTTGTCCGTGACCGTTCACCTCACTGCAGCTTTTTTAGCTACAGGATTGAAGAAGAAGAAGAAGAAGAAGGAGGAGGAGGAGGAGGACTGATGATTTCTGGCTGAGAGGGCAGAATCAAATTCGATGTAGACACTGAGTTGATATCATCGTTGGTTTATTCAACCTGCTTGAAGAGACGGAAACAATCTGAATAGCTTGGGAGTGTCAGCGGGATATCATCGATGTGTGACCTTTTTAAATATCTCACAGAAACTGGAATTTGACGCAGCTCCTACGATCAGTACTGGACCGCATAAATAAAACCCACATTTGAGGCAGAAGCGTTTATTATTACTTGTGATATATTGATTGATACTCAATTTGTTTTAACACCACACTCAACCCTTTTTGATATGGCTCGGTAACTTGGCTATTTGGCATTCATAATCAGTATATACATAATAAATACATGAGGACGGACACTCCAGTTGTAATCATTTAAATATGCCTTCAGAGGAGAGTTTATAATTGTTGACACAAACTGTCCTTAATAAACACTTAAGAATGTCCTTATAGCTGCTTAACACTACATTATGGGATGTTATGTATGACAGGTGTTTGTTCTGCTTATGAATGGCAAAAAGAGGGGCTTAAAGTGCGTTGCCTAGAAACCATATATTTTTTAAAGAATTGTGAACAACGTGTACTGAGAGGGATATTCTTTACTTCCTAATAAACCTGCAAGTGCATTCTGTTTAACAAGTTGGTGACATTATTTCTAAATGAACGTGTGTTTGACATTTCTTTTGTCACATTTAAACTGCTGACATATTCTCACGCCCAATCAAATACAGACGTAGAGTAGGGCTGCACGATTTGGGGAAATAATCGAATTGCGATTTTTCTGACAGATATTGTGATTCGATTTGCGATATTTGTTTTTAAGCGACCCAACGGAAGTTTATTGTAAAATGCGGCCATATCTCCGGGTCGTATCAACGTGCTCCCGCCTCTAGCACCCCCGCAGCCCGAGCTACGAGTGAAATAACTAAACTTACATGAAACTTCCATTGGGTTGCTTTAAAGTCAAGCTTCAGTTTAAGATTCACCCTGTAATAGAAACATGTGATGGAGCATTACTAACCTGACACAGATGGTTTGCTTCACCAAACCATCTAGGAGAGCTCCATTTGGAAGCTGATTGGATCAATCTGTCTATCACCTTCTATCATGGGCCTCTTCTGATTGGTTAACAATGGCTGGTGCATGTGGAGAACAGCACTTCTGATTGGTTAACAATGGCTGGTACATGTGGAGAACAGCACTTCTGATTGGTTAACAATGGCTGGTACATGTGGAGCACAGCACTTCTGATTGGTGCGGATGACTGACACACAAGAAGAACAACAAAAAAACTAAAAAAAAAAAACTAAAAGAAATCGCACGCTTTGCGATTTGATAATTGCATCATTTCAGATCGCGATTTCGTTTTAAAATCGATTAATCGTGCAGCCCTACTCTGGGGAACTTAAACTTA